TAGAACCTCAGAGAAGGAAGGAGGGAACTCAGCCTCCTGGGAGATGGCCAGGCTCTGAAGCCTCCAGGAACCAAGAACTCATTACTTCCTCAGATGCCATTTCCTTGGTGGGGGGAAACTTATCCAGACACTGAGCTGAAATCTACCACCTCTACCAACCCTTTTGGCACTTGGCTATGACTGGGACCCACACAGAACAATTTAAATTTTCTCAACGAGTTCACTGGGTATTTTGGAAATGTCCAACTCAGATCAAGAATCCAGGGCCCTCATGCGACAAGGTTCCATACTCCTCACTGTCTGAACAGAAGGTTTCAGCTGTGGTCATTGCAGCCCTCATTCTTGATGATTCACGCCAGGCCGATGGCCCGCTGAGTCCCCGCGCAGCCAAGAACTTGGAGAGGTTTTAATGCACGCAGGGAGCTGCTGACGATCCTCACATGTACGTGCCCTTCGCAACTAACCGCATGGGCTTACAACTCACCTCTCATCTGATCCTCATAAACAGCTTATGAGTTAGGCAGGATCATGTTCCCATTTCACAGATGAGGAAACTAAGTCTCAGGGAGGTCAAGCACCTTGCTCAAGGTCAAAGAAAGTGGGACAGCCAAGACAGAAACCCAGGCCTTCCCCAGGACCCCTTCCTTTCTCCCCAGCTGACCTCAGTCTCCCTATCAGGGACCTAGAGCTGGGCAGGACTCTGCTCAGTCAGAGGCTGGCCATGCAGCCTGTGAAGGGTGGGGAGCATGGAACTCAGCTTTCTCCTGGCCCACGGTTTTGCAGAGAGCGGCACGAAGGGAGGCTGAGCCTTTCCTGTACCGCACAGCAAGTGTGTCCGCGGTGTCTGTGGGATCTGCCAGTGGCCTGGGCGCTGATGGAGGCTTGAGGTGGAGCGTGCAGGGTCAGGAAGTATTCTCAGGACTGCGGCTGAGAACCATCCTGGCCTCGGCATCGGTGGATATGTACTAGAGCTGAGAGTGTAAATGGGGAATAACCTTCGGGGGTGCTGGTCCCCGAAACACTGTGTGCTGCTCTCTCAGTGAGACTTTACTTAAATTGTGCTCTCAGACAGCGAGAGCTGACTTGGGGGACAGCACTGGGCACTCTCTCCCCTCTCCTGGCCACTGCCTGGCTGGGACCACGCTCAGCCAGTGAGCTTCTGCTGGGCCATGGCCGTGTGTTCTGTTATTAGGTTGTTTACTCTGCTGGGGTTTCTCTCTCTCTCTCTTCTTATGTTGTGTTCCGGCCAAAGGTTTTGATTCAATGTGTGAACAAAGGTATACAAAGTGGTGCGGGACCTGCCATAAGGGACAAAGAGCATGGTGCTGAATGGAAAATTCTGGC